CCTCGTCCTCACTACCATGAGATAGCACGTCTAGAACATAAAGATGAACCATATATATCTTAATCTGACGCGCTTGAGTATTTCAAAATGGCGAATTTTTTTTGCACATTATAATAATGGCCGCGAGTTTGCGTTAAATCGAAATCGTCAGATTATTGAATGAGAGTTTTTTTTTGTTGCTTTTAACTTAGAAAATCTGACGCGCTCGATTAAATTTTTTTTCTTTTCACTTTTAACCCTTACATACAACCACCCGCATCATGCAAACGATCAGATTAACATACGAATATTATTAAAAATACGTGGGACATTGATGCCATCAATATCTGATGCGATCGAGTATGTCCGCATGCAACAGGTATATATTATATAACATTTTTTTCTTCTTATCATTCAAGCTTTGCAACCTAATATGTCTCTAATGACGGTCGAGTAAATCCCCATTTTGCCCAATATCCCCATTATTATCAGTAGTTATCCAACATCACACATTGCTATCTATTGCAAACCGGCATAGATTTTATGCCAGGCTGAATGCTTTGTTTTTTGTGCTTTGTTTACAACCAGTTGCCTTGCAGGTAAAGCTGCTGAGAAATAGGCCTCCTTTTGGAGCCTCGTTTGTTTTTGATATTCGTGTCTTCGGTTGATTCTACAGACGACATTTTCGTAAGAAAATATGTTATCGCGAGACAGTTAGCATTACTGATGATATATTTGACGAGTCGAAACAGCGCTGTCTGGTATTGAATCTCAAGTACTTAATTTTTGGGCTATAATTTCGACTGAAATTTCATTCTGAAACGAGCAATTGACATATTCGATTTTCAACAGCAAAAATGGCAATAACTTTGGATTGCGAATGGTTTGAACCAAAAACTAGAAGTTCGAAGGATATTGCAGCTGCTGAAAGAATTCTGGAATTTCAGGTGGGTATTATTTTTTTCACATCTTTTTACAAGAATTATTAATATAAGCTGTAAATCGAATATATAAAACTGAATTGCTATTCGTGGGTCTCGCTAAAACTCGAGAACGGCTGGATCGATTTGGTTAATTTTGATTGGGAATTATTTGTGGAAGTCCAGGAAAGGTTAAAAAGGTGAGAAAATATGAATAAAGGAAAATAATAATAATAAAAGAACTCACGAACGGTTGGACCAATTTTTATGATTTTTGTTTTTGTCTTTCTGGATTTGTATTCGTCGGAAATAGAATAGTGAGTATTGAAAAATGGTATTCCATCAATGAAAATTGTAAGAATGATGAAGATAATGATGATAAAAGAATACAAGAACATCTGGATCAATTTTTATGATTTTTGTCTTTTTGGATTTGTCTCTATCGAGAATAGGATGATGAGCATTGAGAAATTATATTTCATCAATGAAAATAATAATGATACTAACAATAATAAAACAGCTCAAGAACAGCTGGTCCAATTTTTATGATTTTTGTCTTTTTGGATTTGTCTTCTTCGGGAATAGGATAATAATAAGAAAAGCAGAGATGGCCATTAACACCTTTGACCTGTGGTGAGTTGCGTCACCACTTACCCGAACAACTGGTGCAAAACCGAATCGGCAGCCCAGGCGTACCCGGGAAGTAGAACACTACACTCCCTCCTGTGCCAGCCGTGGGTCCACAGAGTTAACCACCCGGTAGACCCTAAACTTGATTCCTGGTAATCGAGGAAGGGGCCCCAACAGTCGACCCACTCGGAGGGGTCAGAGACAAGTTAGTGGGGCCCATAATTGATTCGCCTACCGATGACAACCCTGGCAATGACAAAGGACACTTTGAGTGGATGCATGAGATAAGAGTTAGCCTTATGCATTGCTACGAGAGTAGTGATGATACATGGCGAGAATGTATGCTCTGTGGTGTGAAACACATTCGGAGCATGTAGCCTTTTCCGTCCAAAATCTTAGGAATTACGTATCCTATCTTTGGCGGCAAGGTTATATAGCTCTTTCTCTGTCTACTACAAAGTGGTAGAAGTGATAGTTCTACCACCCATTGGCACGGCTGAAGAGGAGACTCGCATAATGCTACCAATGAAGTCAATCAGACCACGCAGGGCGCTCAACAGAATTAGGCTCCTGAAGCCACAAGAACTTGCTTGTTTGGACGCGAAGGTTCATAGTGTTCTCACAGAAGAGGCTGACATCTGGCAAATCAACACCACCGTGTATAGCGTCGTCCAATCGCTTTCCGAATCTAAAGGATGAAATCCCGGCCTTGCCATTCGATAGATTGAATGGCGTGTACACAAGGTGGAGGCAAAGATCACTCGGCGGGACAACACGCGTCTCGTATCCAATGTGATTACAGGGCGGCCAACAGGCCTTTCACGGGCGCAGTGCAGCGAACAGCCGCCAAACTACGATGTATCCATCACACTTCAAGGCAAGGCGTTCTGCTGACCACCAAACAGCACTGCCTTGATAGGATATGAATTCTAGTGGCTACTAAGAATTCACTAGTGAGGCGAGCGAGAAGTATCGCGGAAAAACTTAGGTTCCGCGAGAAGCCTTCTCGCTTATGTCAAGAGCCTCCACGTGATGTGGATAATCCGATAACCGCTGATCAGATGGAAGGATATCTATGAGCATCCGCAGCCGCACAACTCCAGCCCTAGCGCAGTTCGAAGCTTCCAACAGAGAGCTTCGACAGCCTGAGCTCAATGAACTGCGCAACCTTATAACCCCGGATGACGTTCGAAGAGCCCTTGTGGGTCTGGCCAGAGTGTTTAACTCATGATTGGACGAAGAGCAGTCGATTCTGGATTGGTTTCTCAAGATGCAGACCGTTCTTATCCCCAAAAGTGAAGATTTGTCGATTCCTAAGAAATACAGACCGATAACATGCTTAAATTCGTGTTATGAGTTGTTTACAAGCATCTTATACACACGAATACTCACCGAAGTTGACCGAGTGTTCGAACAGAGAGGATCAAAGAGAGGAACCGCTGAATGTGAAGAAAACCTGCTTATCGTTAGATGTATAACGCAGGACTCGATACAATATAAGCGTAACCCCTCTATGGCCTGGCTCGATTACCACAAGGCATGTGATACAACATCGCATGAGTTCATCTTGCATTTGCTCAGATGCCTTGCGGTACCCGATAAAATAGTGAGTTATATTGAACAACTGATACCGTACTGGCGAACTCGCTTCACCATAACATCTGGTCAAGCGAGTCCTAACAGGGTGGGTCACTTTCAGAAGGGGTGTATTTCAGGGCGATTCCCTCAGTCCCCGTCGTCTCTTCTGCATCTCACTATTGCCATTATTCGTTGCGCTAAGAAATACTCGAGGGTATAACTGTGGCACTCCCGGAAACTAGAAGGCACAAGGTCACCCATTTATTTTATATAGATGATTTCAAACTTTATGCCTCTGAAGAGAAGGATCTCCATCAATCCTTGAGGGTGATGGAAGAGTACACGCATGCTATCGGTATGAAATGCGGTATAGACAAATGTGCAAAGGTCCATCTCGAAAGAGGATGATGCGGGGACTTCAGAGAGGATATGCAGTTCGTAGATGGAAGCATCCTACACCATTTGGGAGAGACGGATACATACTTTGGGGTGGAACAACGCCACTCACAAAAGGTAAGAGCAGCAAGTATCAGCACAAACTTCGATAGATCTGGTTATCGGAATTGTCGGGGAAGAACAGAGTTCCTGCAACAAATATGCTTGCCGTTTCAATATTACTCTACTCGTTTGGAGTAGTGAAGTGGACTCAGGAGGAGCTGTATCAACTCGACGTGAAGAAATGAAAAATGATGCATCTCTATAGGAGTTTGCATCCCAAACCGTCTGTTCCACGGTTGTACATCTCTCGACAACAGGGAGGCCGTGGACTTTCGAGTTTGGAGTGTCTACATGACAGAATGGTACTGGATGTAGCGTGTGAAGTCATCAGGATTTCGTATCCCCTTCTCTGCAGGGTCCGCTACCATGAGAAAGCAGGAATTGAAGCATTTCTCTTTAGGGCAGCTGCCCGAGCAACAGATTAACTTGGTTTAGTTTTCGACACTGAACGAGATCAGCAAAGAGATCATATGAAAGCCGCAGAGATCACCTCATTTCTGCGGAAACACAATGATGGGCCAATGCATGGTGTCTTCTTCAATTACATTGAAAACCTTGGCTTATCAAACCGCCTGACTTTCGTTTTCCTCAGGTCGAGTGAGCTGACGTCGGAATCTGACAGGTTCATAATGGCTTGCCAGGATGGTGTCTTCAACACCCTAGTCTACCGCAGTGGCAGGATAGGTATAAAGGTTCCTGACACAAAGCGTAGAGCCTGCCGCTAGGCGTCCTAGACTCTAATGCACTTTCCATCAGCATGTCCAGCATATGCGGTCTCGGCCTTACGGATATAATATCGAGATTATATTTTCGAACCCATAGGCCGGACAGATTTTTTCAACAGCGAACTACCCACAGGTATTGAATGATCAAGTTATTGAGTACATTTTGTTAGTGACGAGCATAGCTTCTTGCATTCAAACTGAGCTTGAAATAATTGTTAGAGATAAATTAAGTAAACTAGGTGTATATGCCACATCAAAAGTGAAACAAAGATTTGATTATGTTGAAAAACGAAAATAAAGACACGGAAAAAACTTTGCATGTCCTCGACTCAAAATATATAATACGATCCCAAAAGAGTTCTGATGATTGCAGTTACTGAACTATCAATAAACAGTTTCTCTGGTGAACTACATATTCCATAATTCTTAAACTATACAAGAGGATCAGTTTATTCAATAAACAACTAACTTCACTTCGAATAAAAAACTGGTCTGTGTGATTCGATATAAAAATCAGAATAAATGGTAACTTTGAATAAATATTTTGGCTTATATCCATTTTATCAGAAATAATAATTAGTAGGAAAACGAATTTGAATGGAATAGAAATAAGCTTTGTCATTATTCATTTTATATCACAAAGATCTCAAATCTTGACAATTATTGGTGTTTAATTTTCATCTTCTGTTTCACAATCAATCAGTTTGACAGAAGTAGTAGTTTGCTGATTGTGCTTTCAGACTTGTAATTCATACAAAACCTAGTAAAAGAGGGATTTCTCCTCTCTAAAGATTTTTTTCATTTTGAATTAATAGCTTCAAGCACTAGGGTTATTGGTGTCATGAAAACTATTACACTGATGCATAGTTTCTTGATATCATCATACATATTATCACGTTACAGGAAAGACATGAGGCTAACGATATTATAATATGTTCAGAATGTTGTCCATTAAGTATATTAATGATTTGAAATACTTTAAGAGGGGAGATAGTCGAGTGAAAATTCCGTATGTCCAGCATGCTAAGAATTGTTTGATATCTTCTAGATTCTGGAAGATATCTGGATGATAAACCAAGCTTTCACGAACGGTTCTATTGAAGCCTGTGATATTTGATATCTCCTTACAGTCAGTTTCAGTGAGAGACCTTTCCTGGAATTTCGAATGACTAGCAGTTCTCAATTCACCAGTTTCAAGAATAGGATTTTTCCGTAAGTAGTGACTGAGTACTTTAGGTGACACTCAGAGAATTCTGACAGATTAAAAAAATTGACAGCTGGATGATTTGATTTGAAAGGGATAGATTTTTGGGAGAAAGCTTTCGAGAAAGATAGGTTCAGGCTTTTTACTTTTCCATCTTTATATAAAAATACTATGGGAAACTTTCAAATGAAGAAAGAAAGCAATTAATTGCAAATTAAATTCTTTGCAACCATGTGTAAATCATGCATAGATTTTACTCAAAAAAACTGAAAGAGGAAACCCTATCAAAACAACTACTCTCAGATGAATATTGAATTAGATTCATAATTCACGAAACATCTACTTTGATGTGAACATTGAATTATACAAAAATCTCTGTTTCCTATTCAGATGAATGTAACCTCAATTTTCTTACTGGAAATTTTTCTGTTAACAATCGAAAATATGTGGTTTAAAGTAAATTTCAAATGGAAGCTATCATATCACATTGAATATTCTATCTTTATGAAATTTTCAAAAATATTTTGATGCCATTCTATATCACATGCTTTTCTGAGATCAAAAAGTATAGCCATAGAGATTTATCCAAAGTTTCACACCGTAAAAGATAGGTTGACTTGATCAAATTCAGTAACTTGAGATGTTGAAGAAGTTTTGTTATTTGTTTTATGATTTTCGTAGTTATTTTTCCTCTTTGCTTGCAAAAATTCCAAAAGAATTTCAGTTTCAGATAGACAGCCGAAAATGCTAAAATGATAATTTGAAATTACTCCTTCTTATGAATAATTGGATTTTTCTTCTATTATTTCACCATGTTCCTTTATTTTACAAACCATTTGGTACTTTCTGATATAACAGTGTTTCTGGTTTGCTTTTCTTTATCTTCACTATTAGTTCAATCGCATTCAACATTTTTGTTGTTAATTCTTTTTGATTCTTGTTTTCACTCAGTTATTATCATTGATATGAGTCCTGAAGTTTATTTACTCCATTGTCGACTACGACTTGTACTGAACAGTAACTCAGAGAATACTCATACAGTAATCATCTAATGAAACCAAGTAGGAATCATCAAGAAAGAAACTATTAGAAAGCCAATTTAATCTCAGGTTTTATATGTACAAACCCTCGAATATCTTTCTGAGATACAAAAGAATTAGAATCCGTTGAATTTTAGAAAAAGTTGCTCCTCATTTTAGAGCTCATTCGAATGCAGTTTCGAAAATCAGAAAATAATTACGTTGTGCATCCAGTAGTGTTGATTCGTAGAATATATGACATTGTTGAAAACTAATAGATGAAATATTATAAAATATTCAAGCTAAGAAAGTATCAAAACAGAGTCTATAATACAATCATTCATGTTGAAGATAATATTCGATAAAAATGGATTATAAAATATTCATTCTAAGAAAGTATCAAAACAGAGTATATAATACAATCATTCATGTTGAAGATAATATTCGATAAAAATGGATGTCTTCCCATATAATGATGTATAAAGGATAAATATGTTGAACCAAATTTGACTCAAGGAACTAAATTTCGAATAGTTCCACAGATATTCGAAAAGGGACAAAACTTTATTTCTCGATTTTCCCATGATGGCTCTTCTTATTTTGAATAGCTTGGTATCAAAAGTACCCACCATGGAAAATTATTGGTTTTCACCAATCAACTTCACGTGAGCATGATGTATTTGAAGTTAATAATTATAGGTAATCTGATTATTAATCCCTTGGAATGAATGTTTGCCGAATGAAAGTGATTCTCAAAAAATTGGAAACTGATACAACTTCAATATACTAAAGAGTTCACAGTTCTTGAGAGTGTAATCATCATTTATTCATTAGGAGAAACTCATCTATGATATGACCATTAACTACAAAAACGTATTCCATTTGAATTTTGAATATTTTGTTTCACCTTGGATGTGCGATATGAGTGGATAGTTTGAAATAGAAATTCAAATTACCGGTGAGAAATTAACAATGTTTGAATATTTCACTCTATATCTACCTAATTATCACAAATAATAATTTCAATTTCGTTGTTGAGTATGGTAATATACTTGAGTTAACTCAAATTATGAAAAAGACGGAATAGTTCTGAATATTAAAATTAAATACCCATCAAAAGATATCATAGGCCCCTTTTTTATTAGAATAATTAGTTTACAGCGCCCTTATGACGAAGAATCATGAAACATTGTATATTATCTTCTGAAAATCATACTCTTTCATGTAACTTACATCTGACATTGATATTTTTCCTCGTTGAGAGAAGAGGAAAAGAACGCAATTAATTAAAGTATGTGTTGTAAAGCATATTTAATGAGTTATCCGTGTGCATTTTTTCTTTCTCCCAACTGCATTTCAGCTTATACATTTTACGAAACTACCAATTCAGTATTATTTGAAATGGTTTGTTCGTATACATTTTCTCTGAACTTGTATTTTTCAGATTGGTATTTTTGCACATCCAATTCTCAAAGGTGGGTGGCCAAAAGTGGTAGAAGATAGGATGGAGAATAGAAGATTGATGGAAAACTTGCCGATCTCTCAACTCCCCAAATTAACTGATGATGAAATTGAATTTATCAATGGAACGTTCGATTTTCTAGGAGTTAACCACTATTATACTAACTACGCTGAATATGATTCAGATAATAATATTGAAAAGAGCCGCAATGAAATCAATGCTGGCGTTCTCATCACGGTCGATCCGTCATGGGATAAAAATTCATTGGGCCGCACAGTGAGTTGTTTTCATTTCCATACAGAATAATCAATATTTATAGTTGCAAATTCATTTTGTAAGGGGTTTTTAAAAAGTAATTTTCACAACCTTCATAATATCATCAAAAGTCTCATATATATGATGGGCTGATTTTTCAGGTTTCAATTCGTGTTTTTCATCCTCATAAGGATCATTTCTACAATTAGATAAGACTAGTCGTAAAACTTCAGACATCACCAGAAGATGGAGAATGAGACATTGTCGAAACGTGAAAATAATTCTTATGGGAATAAAAACCGAAAGGAAATCCGGAAAAACAGCTCATCATATTTTGTCCGTGGGAATCTTCGAGTATAATTTACAATTTATATATGTACCAGCTGACCCTGCGAACTTCGTTTCGCCTTGGAGACGATAAAAAAGCACATTTTTGATTTCATTAATTTATTTTTTTTATTGATGAAGTGTTTCAATTATTTTTCATTAGGTTGCACTCTTCAGTTAAGCCCCTTGTGACATTTTTTGTTTTATTATCAGGCGCAAGTATAAACAACGCAGCTGGTCTTCCTATCCGTGAACATGCCACATATAATTGACCATGTGAAAAACATTGATTTTCCAGATTCAGACCACAAACTTTCAAGAATTAGCCTTGTGATTTGTTAATGGTCATGGTGAATGCATGAGAAAATTGGAAATTGAAGTCTTTTAAACTCAAACGGCATATCGGTTGGGATCATCGAGTCCTCGGAATGAGAACTTCCTCACCTTCGAATTTTCTTTTGAGTATCGTCGCGTAAATCACATTTTTCATTAATTTACTTACCACCAAACGTGTACCGTTGCACAGTTTTGGTGGGTTTGTGTTTCGAAGCATGATTACTACGGAGCCAACCTTCAGGCGTGAATTGTGCGGTGGTGAGCCAGGCGCATCCAAGGAGTTTAAAAATTCAATAGGATAGTTGGTGGCTTCATCTGCATTTGTTACAAAGTCAATTGATTTCAATGGATCCATTGTTCCAATGATATCATTCCGAATTATGTAGTTTAGGTCATCTACATCTTTATTCTTAGCCGCTGAAATTGCTCGCTCACTCAACCATTCATTATTTTTATAGTTGGTAATTATATTTGGGAATACTTTGCTGATGAGTTCGTCTTTCGACGAGACAAAGTTACAGAAATTCTGAAGAAATGAAATCAATTCGCTCGATTCGTCGACCGGCACTCGACCACTACGATAGTCAGCAATTGCTCAGAGAAATCTTCAGCAGATGTATCACTAAGCAATGCAACTCTTATGTTTGTTGTCAGCTGAAGTTTCTTCACATAGCGCCATATACTTGATGATTTGAGGCAAGCGTTTATTTCGTCGGCAGCCGTTGATCTTTGAATTACTGGCAGTGTCTGGTGGAAATCGCCAGACAGTAAAATCATTGCACCTCCAAAACACGTCGAGTCATTGCGTAGATCTTTCAATGTTCGGTTAAGTGTTTCTAATGTACGTTTGTGCGCCATTGTGCATTCGTCCCATATGATGATTTTCGATGCTGATAAAACTTTGGCCATGGCGGAGTTTTTTGAAATATTACATGTTGGTTCTTCAATAGTTTATAGATTTAATGGCAATTTCAATGCTGAATGAGCCATACGGCATCCTTCTAAGAATGTGGCTGCTATTCCAGAAGAAGCAACTGCAAGCGCAATGTTGGATCTCGCACGAACAGTAGCTAAAGCTAATAACATCAAGAATGTCTTACCAGTTCCACCAGGTGCATCCAGGAAATATAAACCGCCATTTCCATCATCAATTGCCTTCATTAACCATTGACAAAATTACGTTTAGCTGTCATTTACCTTTTTTGTTATTACATGTCAGATGCGTTTTTGCTATATAGTGACTTCTTGGTGACTTCAGGGAAACGCGGTCGAACGGGATAAAAAGAACAGTCAAAAAAGGGGCAAACCACGAACACGCGTTTCTGGCTATTGGCCTCATCAGCGCGGTGCAGCCAATTGCAAAGATGGATAACAACTGGCTACCAAAAATGAAAACTTCACATATGTACGGTGTCACCAACAGGAGCTAACCGCACATTTGTGGTTTCAATTAGAAGACCTAACATTCCCAGGCATCATCTAACATCACCACGTAGGCAGCTATAGCTACCTGTGTGACTTCCGGGTCCAGGATATAAATACAGAGATAAATATGTAATTGAGTGTGTTCGCGGTTTTCCCCTTTTTTGAATGTTCTGTCCACAAATTTTCCCTTTTGATTTATATCATACACACTCAATTGCATCTTTATCCCTATATTTATTTGCACGAAATTCGGTACCCGGGGTTTTTTTGACGTGGGAAATTATAACTTCGTATAACTTTTCATGTAACATCTAGAGGGCGCTGTGTACGCTGTCATTATTTATTTCAAATTGCCCTAACTTTTTTGACAATAAATTTTTGGTACTTTCCACAAAATTCCCACACCTTTTCTAAGTAAAAAAGATACACCTTCTCAACAACGCTGGATCGTTTTCGAGATATTTTCAATTTTCTATATCGTGCATATTACTTAATAGCCAAAAAAGTTGATTGGTAGAACCCGACAAAATTATTTTACTTGACACAATTTCATTAAAATCTTCCGATTGATTTGAAAGATCTTAGATGTTTGCAAAGACAACCCGGATCATGAAGCTCTACAAGTGTTAACTTTCTTTGTTCCGTGTTCTTTGGCTTAGATCCTCTAACTGCCATAACTTGATTTGAAGTTTGGTTTGGTAAATTTTGCCTCTTCTCAAAGAAGATTAATGAATATCAATTTCTTTATATTTATCCTTCAGTAGAAATAAAGAATTCGGATTCGTAGTTAAGAATTTGAGAAGTTCATAGCATTTGTTTTCGTGGAATGTTTACATCGAACCTCTCTTAATTGTTGTTCGGAATTTGCTGTAATAATATCCTATGTTTGAAGGTGATTGACAATGTTTCATGATGAATTTCACTAGTTCGGACTTCCATTGTCTACTATATAAAATGATTTGAAATCCCTGAAACAACTAAAAAAGAAGAATTGAAAATGAATAGCTGAAAATAACAATTATATTAAGCAACAATAAACCTGA